AAGTTTCTTTAGGAAGTAACACAATGAATAAAACTTTAAACTCTCAATCCTTCATGTCTACACTTTGGTTATACTAGTCAGGCACTTAAGCGACACTTTGGGGCAGAGCTGTGAGGAAAAGAATCCCAGTGGCTAAAACCACACCACTCAATTTGTTTTTAAAATAATAGCACACTGGGCTTGGGCTGAGTATGTACTTAGCACATTCAAGGCTCAATTCCCAGCATGAAAAAAGTAATAGTAAGTAGTAAAAATAATAGCACATTTATACATACATGCATACCAGGTTCCTAACTCCAGTCAGTATGGAAAGGAAGGAGGTAGGGTTGACATAGTATACAGGGGTCCTAAGAATCACTATAAAGCAGAATAGTCTAACATGACCGTCATTGCACTGAAGCTAATGCCACCAAGCAAAATAAAAGTTACAACCTAAGGAGGAAAAACACTACTTATCACTAGAATGTCTCCTGTGTCTATTCAACTTCCTACATGCTTCAACAAGCCACTTATATAAAAAAGGTCACAGAGAGTACTCACTTTTTCATTTTTTTAGAGTTGTATTTGACTTGGTAAGCTGACTGGATTAATTTGTCTGGGCCACCATCAAACTGATGTGGAATGACCTTCTGAAAGTGCTAAGATGTAATAAAGGAATGCAAAAGAATTACTACAAATGATTAATGGTAAATTAAAAACACACAAGAAATCATGAATGGACTTACCTGTAACATCCCTTCCATGTCAAGTTGCATTAATTCTGCCTGATTCATCTGAAGAAGTGCTAATCCTACTCGAAACACTATCTCTAAACCCTGATGAAACAAATTAAATAAAGCCAAATTTGTTTTACTCTTCCATTAACAAAAACTAACCATTCAAAATAATACTAAGTAAACATTCAAGGATCTAAACTAAGAAATGACAAACATTTTCTATAAAGAGCCAGAAAGCAAACATTTTAGACATGATGGACATCTTAGTCCCTTTACAACTATTCATCCTTAATATTGTAACTCTACAGTAGACATAATAACATGCATAATTGGGCAGGGCTGTGTTCCAAGAAAACTATTTTTATAAAAACAGATGAGAAGACAGATTTGACATGCAAATCACAATAGCTAAGTAAGTACACTGCAACTTGCCAACTCCAGTCCAAACTAATGTAGATGAACTATACAAATTGATCTTCCCAAGATGGAACTAACAATTACTACTGGGTTCAGACAAAAGAAGACAAACGGTTACTACCTCATGTATAGACAACTAAAAGATCAACCTGAAAGTATTCATGGAATAGAAGCAGCTTAACTACACTAATTACACTTCCTGTTATTTGAGTAACAGATGCATGCAACAGTATTAACTATAAAGGAGAATTTACTTCTCACTAACTTTCACTGTATCTTTCAAAGGTGATAAAGAAGTTGTATTTTGAGGGTACATTCCAAAACTTAACTACCTATATTTGAATCCTGGATACAATCGCCATGTGTGTGTGTGTGTACACAGACAAGCTACTCAAACTTTCTCTAAGTCTCAGTTTCCTCATCTATCATCTAACAGATGGGGAGGTGGCTGCTATGTGGTCTACATGAGATTTATGTGAGCAGCTCAGCAGGGGACACAAAGACAGTCTCTCATTACTCCCTCCTTGCCCTGCTCTAATTAACCTGACAACTCCACTATTCAGTTCTTTTTCCTATTCTACTCATTTGCTTACCTCAGACATGAAGATATCAAATATCCGTGTTGCAATTGGTAGTGGAAAAGTTGTAAGAAAGATAGTGAGAAACCAGGATGATGCATACATTGATGTATGAAAACTCTGAGACTGAAAATGCACAAAGAGCTCTGGAAGATGCTCCTGGAGAAAAGGATTACATAAAAAAGTGAAACTGAGGGCTTGAAGTCAGATTATCACTAGATGATAGCAAATACAAGGAGTAGATCTAGAATAACACAGAAAACCTCAAACAGAAATACATACTTTCAAGATACCAGTCACTATCTGGAAAGGGAAGAAAAAGAAGAAAAGGATATGGAACTGGAACTTTAGGTACATTCTAATATTTGATTTACTAAGAAAAACGAAATTATAGCCAAAGTAAGTTTAAACTAAATAGCCAACCAAATATAAACACCGTGTTAAGGCGTGAAGGGATGAAATGTTAAAATTCATTTAATCTTGTTGGTGGATACATGGTTGTCTGATATCTTCATTACTTTTCTATGAACTATAATGTTTCTTAAATTTTTTAAATAAAAGAAATGCTTTATTGAAATACTTTCAAGCACTGTCTACCATGGTTATCTATCCTTACTTCTACAGAATGGGAAAATTACACAAAATACTTTAGCTTCAGCAATGCTAGTAATCAAAACCTAATTGACACACAACACCAAGAGTTCAAGGCTGATATCAACAAATGAGGTTATTATTTCAGAAAAAAAATTAAGAATCATCTCAAGACCTATTTTGACTGTTCTTAAAATATAAAAGTGATTCACACATCCCATTCTCCATATGACACAGAAGACTTCCTTAGTTCCAGGGAAAGGCCACTCTCAAAACTGGTTCTCATGTCATCTGAATCACTGACCTATATTCTAAAATTCTGCCATCATATTGAATGTAAGTAAAGGAGAACACTTACACCTCCTATTATAAGGTAGTACAGTAACTTAATTTATATATGTAAAACATAACAATTAAATCCAAACATATTTTTCACTTGACTTTGATTCCACGCCTCTTTTCTCCACCCTTATGTAGTCACTTCTGGACAATTTGAATCTTAAACTAGCAACATAAAATTGGAGAAACATTATGTTTAAAAAAAAAAACGATTACTGGCTAGAAAAACTGAGATATAAATGGAAAGGAGGGAAAAGGACTGACAGAAGACAGTGCAGGCTTAGCAGTAAATGTACTGGCACTATCTGTGCCCCCCCCCCAACAGGAACAGGACACAGTAGGATAAAAAGACATACCACACAGGTGTGCTTGGTTTGAGTAAGAAGGCTACAGGTAGTTTCTAGGCTATGACTGCTTGTCTTTAGCACCTTACTTGGAAGTAGGTCAAATTGTGCCACCTGCTAAACAAGCGACTATGGGATTAAAAGGGTGATTTTTTTTTCTTCCAACTGTTTCTATGCTTTTAACATTAAATTTGATAAGATGTCATCAGACCAAGAGTAAAAAATGTAAAGCTGAACTTTTACCTGTATCATGCATTCAAACTGGTACATACAAAGGCCCAATTCTGCCATACTAGGTTTAAAAAGTTCACGAAGTCTATAGTCCTGCATTAATTTAACAAATACACAAAAGGCTTCTTCTTCTGGCATCTGTAATAAGAGAAAAAAGTAACATAAGTTATTTAATGCTCCATGACACCCAAATAAACCAAATTAGACTTAAATTAAGTACCACTCAAAAATAAACACTGGTTAGCATATGTGTGCACACATGTACACAAGTGTCTGTGTAGGTGTACAGGGAGGCTGGAGATCAATCTTGGATGCCATTCTTCAAGACCACACATCTTGTTTTCTGAGACAAGATTCTCACTATCTTGGGACTCACCAAGTAGACCTCCATACCACTGGGACTACATGTACACACCACCACAATCAATGTGGGTTCTGGGGACTGAACTTAGGTCCTGCCTTCAAAGCAAGAGCTTTACCAACTAAGCACTCTCCCTAGCCCCAGAAGCACTGTTTTGAGTGGCCACACAGTACAATGTAAAAAGCAATAGACTGAAAATCAGGCAGTTCTAGGCTCTGTATTTTGAGAATGAGATATGACTTGCAAGCTCTGAGACAAATGGCTTCAATTTGTCTAATCCACTAATTTCATCAACACATATTCATTTACAGATGTTTTCTCTTTCTAGATACATATCAGTGAACATCAATAACAAAAAACATAATATTTCCTCTCAAGGACCTTAAACTTTCTAGAGATAAGGAAATAGACAATATATGGAATAAATCAGCATACACACACACACACACACACACACACACACACACACAGATAGCCATGTATGTCAGATGGTGATGATACTATGGAAACAAACCAGAGTAGGATGGAATGCTAGGCAGACAAACTGCTATTTGTATAGATCAAGGAAGGAACCTGTGTAGGGCAAATTTTAAGCCAAACAGTGAGGGAACAGCTGAGGAAAGAACAGTCCTGGAAGATAGAGGAATGCAAAGGCCCCGAGATGGAATCATGCCAGCATGCTCCAACAGGAAGGAGGAGGCACTAAACTGCAAGTCAAGCTCTCCTTTAAATAAAGTAAAATCTACAAAAGAAGTTCTTAGCAGACACCAACCAGAGAAGGAAAAACTAATCAGATTAAACTTATATTAATTTAAAAAGTCATAAATAAAGGAGAAATAAAGAAGAAAAAACAAAACTAAAATACAAAAACAAACAAAAAAGCTTTAGAGGCCATTCTATAGTTTTGAGGATTCTGAATAGAAGTGATATATGATGTAAATATTAAAAAGAACTTCTACACTTTCAAATTATCTGTAGTTAGGGTTTAAAATAATGAAACACGGGGCTGGAGAGATGGCTCAGCGGTTAAGAGTACTGACTGCTCTTGCAGAGGACTCGGGCTCAATTCCCAGCACCCACATGGTAGCTATGAACCGACCTTAACTCCAGTTTCAGTGGAATCCAAAGCCCTCTTCTGACCTCCCAGCATTGCATGACATGGGTGTACTCACATACATGCAGGTAATACACTCATACACATAAAATAAAAATAATAAAATATTTTTTTAAAAATTAAAAAAAATAATGAAACATCTTATGTGTAACTCACTAGAAAAATGTCAAGTAAGATAAAAAATATGAAAGCTCTGTAAAGAACTAAAGACTTAAAAATGTTTAGGCAACCCGGGCGTGGTGACGTGCCCCTTTAATCACAGCCCTCAGGAGGCAGAAGCAGATGGATCTCTGTAAGATGGAGGCCACCCTGGTTCATAATGTGATCTCCACGTGGACTGTGACTAGAGAGACGCCGTTAAAAAACAACCAACAAAAAGACAAAAAAAAAAAAAGTTTAGGCAAATAGCATCCACATTACTAAACAATTTTCTGAAAATATAAAATTTTCCAGTCCTCATTTACAGTCTGTCAGTGTGTTTCAAGATAACAGCCTAAATAATCTCTCTGCATTCTTCTCACTAAGGACAATACATTTCCCCAGCCTTGACATAGTCATGGAAAGAAGCCAAAACCTGCCTTTCTTGAATTTTCTTCCTTCCTCCCAACAGAGCCACAATTCTGTGCCTTGGAGACCATCCCTGATAATCCTAGCAAGCCCCAAAGCTCCATTACTTTATGTCAGTCACTAGAAGAAGCCCAAGACCCCAGAACTTTCCATCTTGTAGTTCTCCCATTCCCCTAATCTGACCCCATTTCCAAACTTCTACCTATATCCCCAATGTCATTTTCCAATATTCTCTTTTTTTAAACTGAAATATGACTCTACCCTAAGGTGGTTCTTTTATCTACCACAGCACTTGAAAGGGCCAGGAGAAACAAGGTATCTCCTTCAACTTAGGGGCCACTTCCACAGAATGAACCTACTCTGCTCTCTGAAACACGTGACAAACAACATTACCCATTTGTTCCTCCACAAACTTTAATACAGCATCCACAAACTTCTGGGACGCCTGTCTACCACTTTCCTAGTCATTTTCGTGAAGATTAATTCTATCGCTTTTGACTTCCTTTCCTTCAATTAGCCTAGTAAGCAGTTACTATCTCAGGCTCTACAACCACACCAAAGGTTGAATTCTGTTTTCCTACTTCCTATGTGACAATTTCTCTAGGACTGAAATAGTCTTTTGTAGAGGGAAGGGAGCCTCACAAACTTCATGGCACATAAGAAACTTAGAAAATGGGGCTGGAGAGATGGCTCAGTGGTTAAGAGCACTGACTGTTCTTGCAGAGGACCTGGGTTCGACTCCCAGCACCCACATGGTGGCTATGAACCATCCTTAGCTCTAGTTCCAGGGGAATCCAAAGCCCTCTTCTGCCCTCCATGGTATTACATGACACAGGTGCACTCACATACATGCAGGCAATATACTCATACACATAAAATAAAAGTAATAAATATTTTTTTTAAAAGAAAGAAACTTAGAAGATTCAAGAGGCCACTTCTAGGGGTTATACAATCAGTAAACAATTGCTAGTGCAGGAGGAGACTTTGATGGTATAGCTGCCTATACGCTGCACAGGCGACACCAGTGATGCAGTTCTCATGCATTATCATCCACCCACCCAGATGATACAGCTACCCAAGTCATCCATGCTCCTCCTATAAGCAACCCCAAGGAGCTCCTTGGTTCACCAAGTTGGACTTGGGTGGACTCATTTCTTGGCCTGTCATTACTCTCTGTACCTGGAGTGACTAGAAATAGATGTCTTTAGGAAGCTAACACAATGCTACTTAATGCAAATCTTGGTTTTCCATTTAATGACTATGTGATTTAGGGAAATTAACTTCTCAGATTCATCATTTATCAAGTGGGTAAAATAGCACTGTTCCACAATGCTGCAAATGAAGAGTAACATAAAGTAGTCAACAATTAACTAACAACACCAGGCATGGAGGTCTGTATCTGTAACCTCAGTCCTCAGAGGCTTGAGTTTGAGGCCAGTCTGAATTATATAATAAGACTATCCTTTAAAAAATACAAAATATGGCTAGGCGTGGAGGCAGAGGCAGGTGGATCTCTCTGAGTTTGAGGCCAGCCTAGTCTCCACAGCAAATCCAGGCCAGCTAGAGCTACAGGGAGACCCTGTCTCAAAAAGACCAAATAATA